AGGTCTTGCTGTCTTCCCTTTTTTTTCATGTTCTCTTTTTGAAATGCAAAAAGCAATGTTCCTGATCTTTGCTGCCTTCATCCCCTGAAACACAGCCTATTCTGTCTCCCAAGCATTTCCCTCCACCAGCAGCGTAGCGATCAGCTCTTCACTGAGTGGTTTTCAATGGCTTAGGCTCAAATAGAAGATTAGGAAGATGTAAAAACAAGCAGAGCTAAATGAGAGGCATTAACAGACATGTTTTGATTATCAATAAGAAAATGTCATAAATCAAGGATGCTTGATAGACATCTAGTAATTTTTCAGTTAAGTTTTATGTCATCAAATTGTTTACTACAGTTCTGTTGATGAAATCCCAATTTTCCTATTAACTGTCTTAATGCCTGAATGAGTAATGCTTCTGTAAAATGGAGTAGAACAGAATGACATGATGATAATTTTATCTAATGGTGTTTGTTATTGTCCAAGTATTTCTTGTTAATTTATTTAGGGGAATGGAAGCATTAATGTTCAGGCTGCTGGACCAGAGCAGTTCCTTGTCCTCTGTACTGAGTTTACACTCTGGAGATGTGTTTGCCCTGGATGCTTTCCCTTCCAACAAGAAGTGGAATGTCACAATTCACTCCCTTTGGGACCAACCTGTGGTGAGTGCTGCTGTTAACCTTTGTTTTGCTAAGAGGCAGTTAAAACTTTTGGGTTCTCCCAGGCTTCATTCTGAGTTCTTCCTGCTCTACCTGGTGGTCACATGAGCTGCTAGCCTTCTGAAGTTTCTGAATTCGGGTGGGTCTGCATGCTGGCTGACAAAGGCGAGATCTCTGGAGCAAACAAGCTGGAACATGGGAGGACATGGGAGTCACTTCTTTCACAGTAGTATCCCTAAGGGAATATTACTCAAAAGCCATTAGGCTATGATGTTGTATATGATGAATTTGTTTCGTTATTAAATTGTATTTTTCTTGAGAAAAAAAAAATAACCTGATCTTTTTCCTATTAAAGCAAGGAATACTAAGATGGCTTGTGAGATGTGTTATGTATCAGGCTGCTCATTAGGTTTCATACATTCTTTATCTTAGTAGCTTTAGTGTTATAGTAAGTTAAAGTACACGTCTCGAGTGACCTTATTAAGTAGTCAAGTTTAATTTGTGCTACCTCAGCTTTATGCTATTTACAAATCCAAAACTTTTCTATTTCTTGGTGAATCCGATTTGTAATCAGAATCCTAATTTTTTTTAGTGCATGATATTTGCATTTGTATTTAGAGCCAAAAGGGGGCAGCAGCTTCTTTCAAATCTTTGGCGGGTCCTATTCTTTGCTGTTTGTGGATTCTTTTTGTTGTTGTTGGCTTTGTGTGTATGTGCGTGTGTGCGCTTAAAAAACTTTAAAAATAGACAAACATTGTTTTTTTAAAACTATTTCTAGTCATGTTTACTCTCAAAAGAACAAACATTCAGTCTAATTAGTGTCCTCTAGCAAGTGCTTTCCCAGTGAAATAACGTAAACCAAACATTGTTCTCTGTTTCTGTGCAGCATACATACAGGAACACATGAACACACACACACATGAATCACGACTTCTTAAAGAATGCTTTTATTTCTCTGTCAGTTACTTTAAAAAATGAGTGTTCTCTTACATGCTCATGGTACAAGTTTTGATCTCCATGGGCGGATTAAGTGCTTCTGAAAGAATGGTCTAGAGCACTGATAAAACACAAAATGAGTTATTGGGTAGGTTTGCAGACTCCTCTGCTTACGTTTTGTGAGTGCCCTTCAATCATGCTCTACAACTGGCCTTGTGAAGTTCCTGACATTTTTGCTGGAACTGAGGCTGCCCATCATGTCCAACTGTGTTGAGATTTGATGATGAGTAGCAAAAAAAAAAAAAAAAAAGAAAAAGAAAGCAATGAATATAACATTTTGTTCTTGTCTAGTTTCATACTAAAGGCTTTTGGTCAGAGGGAAAGAGGAAGATCAGTTCACACACTGACCTTCTGTAATCTTTTTCCTAATGCTGTTGTTTCCGATGTTCACCAAATGGTGTCTGTTGTCATTAACCAGGTGATCAGTGACCTTATCAGCTGAATGTTCTGTTACATAAAACATTTGTGTCCTTGATGCTGATCCTCATACAGTGATGTGACTGTGCTATAATCGGAGGGTATACTATATGCTGATCTGCCAGAAGTTAACTATATAAGTAAACTACAGACTCTAAAGGGGCATTTTTCTGAATGCCATATGCCAGGCATTTATAAGATAGTAGAAAAGTTATGGCAGCATTGTTACAGAAATCATGGGTGACTATGTGTTGTGAGTGTCAGAAGGGATGAGTTCTGTCTTTTATGACAGCGCTGTATGCGTTTAGGTACCCATGGAAGAGAAATTACATGAACTGTGCACAACCTTTTCACATCCACGTATGGCTCTCATTCTTCCACATCACAAAAATCCTCTATCGAGGTCACCTTATTCAAATTTTATAAAACTGTCTGTCAGAACAGATGGTGTCACTTAAGGATAAAAAGCTTAGCCATAGATGTGAAGAAAACCTGCCTTTTCAAGTGAGGCCTGTTAGCACATCTTAGTCTTTATCACCTATGTCTTCTCTCCCTGCATGACAGAAAATTTTCACAGGTTTGTGACTTCTCAAAGCCTTTACATTTTTAGTTGGGTTTGATTTGTTGAAACAACTCCGGTCAAACGACAACTTTTGTCTCTCTCATTTTGTCCATCTATGAAACGGTTGCCTGGGCCACAGAAGCTAAGATGTGTAAAATACATTTGTAAAGGCAATGGCTTCTCTTGCATGCTCAAGGTAACAAATCATTCAGACTGACAGTTCAGTAGTAGCCAACGTAACTTACTATCTTTTTACAGTATATGTTCCCCTTCCTTCATGGCCAGTATCACCATCTTCTCTGCTCCCTGGCAGTCCTCGTGTAGCTCTTTGGGAGGCTTCTGATAAGCTCCCTGAAGCATGTCAGTCTTCGGCCACTTCTGTTTGTTTCTGTATTGTTTGTGTTAATTTATTTTGGGTGTTCTTGAAGGCTAAATTTTGGCATTAATTTTTTGCTTCCTTCTAAACAATGTGTGTATTTTTAAAAGTCTGTTATTGTTTGTTGTTACCTGATCTGACTGATAGAACACGGCAGTTTTGACTAATGTGTTATTTTGCAAGTTTTCTCTCTCCTTTTACTGGCTCAGATTCATGATAGGAAGTGTTGGATATTCAGTGTTATTGTTCCTCTTCGGGTGAAGATATAATGTGGATCTTTAAGGCAGCTTTTTAAATCAGGTCTGTTAAAAATTTTGTGTCTACCCAAAATGATGAATTTCTGAGCTCAGTTTCGGATGGTGATCAGGATACAAGAACCTTTGTTACAGCAGTGTCACATGTATTGGCTTATATATTTTGCTATGCTGAAAAATGATGTGCTATACATTTACCAAGTTGTCTCCTTCTTGGATTCCTCCCGATACCTATAGCTGTGAAAAACTAAATGAGATGATAATCTCACAGATGTTGCATGCCTGCTCTGTAATTGTGTCAAAATAAATGATGGTTGACACTGCTTAAGACGTATGAATAACCTCTGCATACAATAGATGCAAAAGTTTATCAGGCCCTAGAGCTGCATAATGTGAGGCCAAGTTTAAATAAATACGGTGAAGTTAGAGTGAAAAAGCCTTCAAATTCTTGTGTTCTGACTATACAATGAGATAACATAGAACAACAGATATTAGGCATCCTCCTTATCTTTTATAAAATGAGTTTTTCCCAAGTAAGGATGTCTTCCTTCTTGTCTTTATCTAGTTTAGAAATACTTTATCTGGAGAGGTTTCTATTTGGACTCCCTAAGTGATCATGCAGAAGTGGTACCTTAACTTTAAATAAACTCATTCTTTGAAACTTAGTCTTCAATGATTTGTAGGCGTTGCTGCTATTCATTTATAATGTTGTTAGTCTTGTTAGCCCCACACAGCTACAGTAGGATAATTTTCAGTATAGATGTCATGTTCAACAACACTGATGAGATTCAAAAGAAAAGATAAATTCTGCTTGTTTGCCCCATGCTTTGCTACTGTGAGGGAGGTTGGAGGTCAGTACAAGCTTTACGTCATCACTGACATTGGAAAGAAGAGACTTGTATGGAACTTCTATTATAGAAAATAATAAAGAAAAAATGAATGCAGTAATATAACCTTGTCATTTCTAGAGTCCAGACTGATTACAGGCTAAAGGGAAACTTTAGGACACATGCACATTAAGCAAATTGAACCTGGTTTTGGAGAGAGTGAATGAAATACTGACATATTTTTACAAGGTTTATTTTCAGAGAATGCCTGTCTTCTAAGGAGTGTATCAGTGGTCTCATAAAGATCACAAAACTCCTGTTCATAGCTAATTGTTTTTTTTTTTTACTTACCCTCCTGAAATGAATTGGAACTGCCTGGAGAAAAATGATTGGCTTTGGCAAAAGAAAAAAAATAAAAGTAAATGGCTAGCTTTGGGTAAAGCTGAAGCGCAGACAAATAACTGCATTTTGTTTAATAGCCACCTTAGTGGTGACTTTGTATGCACAGTTCTGAAGGCATTGCTGCAATGCAGTGCTACTGTTTTAAGGTCAAAGGATATTGTAGAATCTCAGAACAGTTTGGGTTGGCAGAGACCTTAAAGCCCACCCATTCCCAACCTCTACTATTGGCAGGGCCACCCAGGACCCCCTCCAACTTGGCCTTGGGGCACCCACAGTTTCTTTGGGCAGCTGTGCCAGTGCCTCACTGCCTCTAAGTAAAGAATTTCCTCCTAACCTAAATCTCTTCTCTTTTGGGGAATTTGCTGTCTTTTCCAGTCTAAGGAGATGAAAGTGATGAACATTTGTGTTTTTGTTGTGGTGCTTGGGAAACCCTTTTGGTGGTGGGTGGGAAGGATTTTTTTGTGGGTTTTTGTGTTGTTGTTTTTTTCCCTTTTTTTTTGTTTGTTTGTTTGTTTGTTTGTTTAATAGAAGGCACTGTATTTTCTACAATTCATTTGGTTAGAGGTGCATAGTTTACAGTGTGTAACCCCATTCACAGCACTGTCAGAGGCTTGCCATCAACTGCAGCTGGAACAGGTAGACCCTTAGGGCTGTGACCAGTTAATATTCAACCTTCTGAACTTTGCAGCATTTATACTGTTTCAGACTACTAGGAGTGCCTGCTCAGGGAAGAAGCTTGATACTGAATTGCTATTGAAAGTCTCTGTTAACCAGATGGTCAGTCTGCTAAAGATTTTAGGCTCTGTTCTGCCATAATCTCAGGACATACTGGAGGGAGATCCAGTGCAAATGCAGCCCTCTTAAGTGTGTTAGTGTTTTGAAGCAGGGCCTGTTTGAATCTTTGTTGTTTGAATCTTTGTAGGAAGATTTTTAAATACAACATGTTTGCTGAGTCTGACTGTTACACCTGCAACTGGTTTTCACTGTGGAAATTAGACTGAAGCTAATGAAGTACAGCAGCCTGTGAGAAACCATTGTGAGGAGAAGTGTAAGGATGAATCCCCACCTGCTGGAAGATCAAGCATCCCTTTTCCTTCCTACATCAGGGCTTAGTATCTCTGCTACCGTCAGGATGGAGACACTACTATAGAGACTAGAAGTTCCTCTGCATATCTGCTGCTAGGTCGCTAAGAACTCCATGTTCCCCAGGCTGAGGGGAAGAAGCCCCAAGCTGTTTGTGTCAGCTGCCCTCAGCATTCATTCAAACTCGAGCCATGAAGCACTGTGCAGCGGCCGGCAATGTGTGTGATGACAGAGCCACCACTGTAACTCAGAAATAATAAAGACATCTGGGGATTGATTCCAAGCCATCTTTTTACAGTTTTTTGGGTTCTTTTTGAGAAGCGGAGGATGAAGGCAAGTTGCAATTTGAAACCCAGCATCTTTTTCAGCTAAAATAGCTGTTCTGAGATGGGTTTGAATGGCAGCAAAAAATGGGCATGTGCAATGAAGAACAGTTTGACACTGCAGATGCAAAAAGCGTGTGGCTGAGGCATGCCAAAAGGTTGTTATAACACAAGCCATGTCATCAGCTGCCTGCTGCTGTTGCCGTGCTGCATTATCTTTGTGGGGAATAGCTCTGATTACTGAGCTCCGCTTGTTTGCAAAGTGACAAGTCAAGCTAATTAGCTGTGTGGGTGGAGTATTGGATTCAGTCTCACCAGGGGGGTAGCCTCATCCTCCCCTCAATTATGTGCATCCAGCAGCAGAGCTGGGCGCAGAAGTTTGTTCGTGGGCGTTTCTTCTCTAGAGATTACGGACACAGAAGCCAGGCTAAGTGGGGCACTGGGATAAGCTTTTTTTAGCCTGTCATACAGAGAGTGTAAATTGCAGCCGCGGAACTGACACTTTTGCGCGGAATAAGGAACAGTTACTTCTCACTCTGCGGGATATGTGACAAGAGTGGGTGTGCAGCGATGATAAAGTCACCAAGTTAAGTACCAGGCCTGTGTGACTGATTTACAAATACCAGTGTTCTTTATTTACATAGACATGTAAACAACAGAAGGTAAACAACACCACCCAGCTCGGTCTAACAAACAGGCTGCTGCTGCTTCGCTTCAGAACCTGAGGTGTTTAATACAATTCACAGAAACTGTATTGACAGCAAACACGGGAGGACTACAAGGTTAGCTCAACTCTTTCTTCTTTGCACGGAAGTTGCATGCACTGTGCATCGGCGTGACAGAACGGCACCACTGAGGCCACAAAACAAGCAAATGCGAAGAACCCACTAAGAGCTGTTCTTAAGGTCAGATATGGCTCGAGTTAGCAATATTTGTACCTAGTATCACTACAGCTGTTCTGTACTCTTAAAGCACTTTCCACTCCACAATTCGAAAGCACTTTGTGAACAAACAAGAAATCTTTGCTGCGTCCTTTGCAAATGATCCCCAGCTTACACAAAAGGAAACACACAAGGCCTTGAAATACCGACTTTCCAAGAGCTCACATTTTACCAGGCTAATTTCAACCTTGTGCCTTAAATGTAGCACCATTCTTCTCTCTTGGAAGAACATAACTTTTTGATATTCTGAGACACACATTCGAATTCAAGGTAAGGCTCCAAGTGCTGCAGGTAGCAGGGCAAAGGATGGTTGCAGTCCCAACCTGAAGCTGTGTGGCTTCAATGACACCTTTGCTGAAAGAGGAGCCAACAGCTGTGCATTGCAGCCCACCCCAAGCTTTTTCAAGTTTGTCCAAAACTAGAATTGAGTAACATCTGCTGAAAAAGAAAAACTATTCGAGCACAACTGTGCTGATCCACTGTCTTGCATTTAAATGCAACACTGAACCATACCCATGTTGTCTTTTAGTTTTACAAATTTAGTGTAGTATTTCCATTTGAAATATTTAGTCAGACAGAAAAATACCCACTGGAGCAATGAAGAGCTGCTTTGTGTCAAGGAACAAATTTCCTTACAGTTTAGCATTAACAGCATCAGGTAGGGCCTGAACAAGATTCAATTCTTAGCTGTAAATTCACATTATAGTTCCACACACATTTAACGAAAAAGCAGATTGGCATGTTTTTATTGCAGATGTGTCTGCAAGGTGATTGCTATGGCTTGAATCCAAAGCTTGTTCCATCTTTTCTACCTGTACTTGATATGAATAGCAAGTTAGGCTCAGCTCATACACTAGATCAAATTCAAGCATATACAGATTGCTGCTAAAAGGCAGCTGGGCAGGTGAGATGGAGCGTGGTATTTAAATACTCAGCTGCCTTCTCTTGTGCACTTCACGCTTCAAGCAGTTTTACTTCTGCCCTCCCAAGAGGAACCATAATGATGATCTTCAGTTTTCAGAGGAAAGGAACTGAACCACATCAGCTGTAAAATACACAATTTACAGCTGCAGTACAACAGAGGTGAAATAGAGAGAGAGCTATTTCTGCAGAAGCTGGTTTGTTGGTTTTTTTTGTGTCCTTTCAATTCCACAGGTGAAAAGGAAACTTAAGAAACTCTCCTTAAATAAAAGCTATGTACAAATTGCACACGTTGCAAACGGAGCACTGAGATCAGTTACAGAAATAAGATATACAGTCTTCACTGATAACATCTCTTTTGATATAAACAGTGATAAACAGCATATGCTTTCTTCAGATGTCAGAACCCAGCAAGACTGCAATATTATGTACACAGGGTTTGTTTGCCTTCTGCCTTCTGCAGCAGAATCCTTTAAAACTCTGTTTTCACTTTGGAAGCTGCGCAGCGACATTCCTGTGCACCACGTCTCTCTTGCTTAGCGGATCACAAGAGAGCTGTCATTGCTGTCTGGCTTATTGGGTTCAGGCAGTCTCTGGGTGTTGAGTAACCCTCACTCCCTAGCGCGTTCGCCTGAGGTTTCTGGTAGTCCGTACTGTAGCTCAGAGAGGTCAGAATACCGTTGGCTTTAGGTTTGTCGTAGTTTATTACGCTCTGGGGTGTCTGATAGTCTCCATTCCTGGTATCAGTCTTGCATGAGCCAGAGAAACTGCCGGCAGAAAGGGAATGTTTCTGTGAGGAGATTACGGGTATGTTGTAGCCATTTTCAGAGGGAAAGTTATTTTCTCTGGTGACGTGCCGCTCGATGATGGGGGTGGCATATTCAGGCTCCTGGCTGGTCAGGGGCAGAGCGTACTCGTGCCGGTTGGCTCTGTGTGGGCAGTGGTAGTGGTTTTCAAACTCTGCACTCCCCCTTCTTCCCTCTCCTTCTGTGTCCATGGGTCTGAAAGTAGATCCTTTCCGCGTTACTGTCCCAGTTCCGATCATGAGAGGCTGCTGATAATCTAAAAGGAAGTACCAACTGCTCAACAACACATAGCCACATTGTTTTATGTAGTAAGTGGCAGAAAATGATTTGCTTATTATAGCAAACCTGTGATTATCAGGGATGTCAGGAAACACTGCCCTGTCTCCAATTCCATATCCTCCTTCATTGCCCAGGTGCTGCAGAGCTTGGCAGAGCTGCTCTGCAGAGGAGCTTCAATCTGTCATGTCTTTCCTCCCTCCCTCCCTGCCTTTCCCTGCCTACATACCCAAGTGCATTAACATCATTTCTGGAGAATACCCCCAAACCCTATGAAAATAAAAAGAGGGAGGACAACAAAATATAAGCAATAAACCCGAGAGGGGACTTCAAATGAAGTTCCACAAAGGAAAAAAGTTCTCAAAACAAGCGTTCCACTTTTGCAATAATTAAGATGCCTGAAGGATTCTTAACGAGCCCAAGTGCCGGCTCTATTTAAAAGGAATCTCAGTGGCTGACTGACAGGAGGATAAAGTTAGGCAGAAAGGCAGCCAAGAGAGTCAAGGGAAGTGTGAGATGTGTGAAGTCAGCTTCCAACTGAAGCGTGTGTGCGAGGGGGACGAGCCATAAGGCGAGCAGCAGGAGTGGTGCTGCGGAGAACAGTTCACCCCATGGAGGAGGGGGCAGGAGCTGAATTGGGAAGGGAGATATGATCCCAGCAGGAGCACGAGGTAAGATCCAGGGGACACAGCCTCAAAAAGTGGATATTTGCAGTTCTAGTCAGAGAGGATGCCTGGCTGCTGTATTAGAAAGCAATCTGAACTAACGGGGTTTTCAAAAATTCCAGAAAATTACCATGCTGAAATTCGGCATTTTAACTTTTTTACTTTGCTGCTTGTGAAAATTGCTTGTTGATATACATGGTGACCTGAACAGCTCTAGTAAATGACACTGATAAAACACTGTATTCTGGCACAGGCTTGAAGAAGTTAGCTCAGATTCTGTTTTAGCATTGTAGTTCATCTGACATGAGCTTGGAATTCAATCCCATATGTCCTGTGAATCTTTCTGGCAGTTCCTGGCTACTTCCCAAATGTAGCATGCAGGGTGAAGGTGTTATGATATGTCATAAGTGATGCAGCTCTCACCAGCACTGCTGCTGCTACACTGAGGAATCTCACTTGCTCCGAAAGAAGTCTCTCCACTTGCTCTGGGGGCTGCCATGAGAACCAGCAAGTAGCGAGGAATTCAAAGGGGAAGAATTTCATGTAGTATGGTAACCTATATGCAAGTTGCATGCCCACCACAATTTAATTATGTAATGTCATTTGCTGCACATTTCTTGGCTGCAGTCCCAGTTTTTATTTCGTATTTCTTATTTTTAAGGAGACTGGGAGATTGCAGGTGAAAGGCAAACTTTGGGAGCTCTCGGGCCAGGATGAGAGGTATATATTCTCATACACTGCAGGAGGAGAGGATAGGCAGAGCAGAGGCCCCTGCACACAGCCAGGGTAGCTGGGTAACCACAGTGGTAAGGGACCTATACCGGCTTGCTTTCCTTCATGAAATAAAACTGCTTTATATTCAAAAACTGCATATTTATATTTTAAGTTTTTGTAAAGCAGTGAAGCCATCTCCGACAGACTTTTAAAGTGTATTTCTCTAACAAATGTATTGGATAAATCTTTAGGAATTTCTAAGGTTTGAAGCCTGGGAATGGCAAATAAATTTTTTCTGGAAGGTTGCTGATCACTGATTTCATAAAATGGCTGCTCTGTCTGGCCTTTCCAGACAGAGAAAACCAGGCAGGGATAAGATGCACTAAGAGGATGAATTAAAAAAACATCCCTTTGGAATACAAGCAGTACTGATGCAGGGATTTGCTCTCTCCAGACAGTGACCTGAAGCCAAGATAGCACAGAAGAGATGCATTGAGGTGTTTTTTTTTCTCTTTTCCCTCATCTGTCACTTCAGGAGACCTCATCTCCAGGACAGTTCAAGGCACCAGGAATACTGTATACAGATCTCAGCATGACTTCCAGCTGGTATGGAATCCAACCACAAACTGAATAAGCAATTTTTCTATTTGATCAGCAGCAAGGAACATCATATTTTGTTCCAGTGCCAGAGACATTTGAATTAAAATAAAAATATAAAAATGTGTCAGCAATACCTTAGGTACGTTCATAGAATTACAGAAGAATCACAGAATCATTAAGGTTGGAAAAGATTTTTAAGAAATCTGGTCCAACTGTCCACCTACCACCAATATTGCCCACTAAGCCATGTCCTTAGCTACTACTACATCTACCTTTTCCTTAAATACCTCCAGGGACAGTGACTCTACCACTTCCCTGGGCAGGGCAGTCTGTTCTGAATTCTTGTGCTGCATCCTTTGTCTGAGTGCATTCTGTGCTTATCTTCAATGGTAACTAGTTCAGAGCAAGGAGAAAATCTTGCCCAATAACTCCAGAAAAAAATAATAATAATAAAAAAAAAAATATATATATATATATAAATATATATATATATATATAAAAATGAAGGTTCATCTAGTGTTTTTGTCCCCCCAGTACATCTGGGATGAACACAGATAAATCTGTCCTTGGGCCTGAGCTTTTCACGAGAGCTGGAGCTTCTAATATTGCTGGCCTGTCCTTCCTCCTGCTAACTACTTTCTGCACAGAATAAAATGAGTGCATCAGAGAGGGAGCAATTGTTACCTGCCATATCGCTTGTGACCAGATCTAGTTTTTGTGGTGTCTCCTTCTCATTATTATAGCTAATGGTAAATTCAGTTGACTGATGTCTGGTGAAGGGCTGCTTGATCTGTTTCCAACAACCTACGATAAAGAAATAAAAATAGAAAATGTCAGAAAGTTAAATGCTTAAAATTAGAAGGCTTATCAGAATGTTAAATTTTTAGTGTACTGATTGCTGTCAATATACTTAACTACTTACAAAGCAAGATTAAAACAGGCTGTTTAAAAAAAACTAAAAAAACAGTGAAACCCATAAAAACAAAGAACCTCTGAGATTCTCCATGTAGAAACTAAGCCACAGAGAGAACTTTGTCTTTCTTGGCAAGAATGACTTAAGTTATATCTTAAGGCCTATAGGTAAAATATAAGCTTTAAGTCAGCAACAAATTTTGCCACCACTTATGTAGCAATAATAATGTTTGCAATTTCTTTTTTTTAAATTTTCAGTAGCTGAATATAGCTTCCATGTCCTTGGTATCTCAGCACCTGCACTTATTTGTTCTCACAACATCACTGTGAGACAGAAGAGAGAAAATCCAGTGTCTGTTCCTTGTCTGGCACCTGTAACATGTGGTCTGTTGAAAGGTGGGTTCAACTCCCAGTGTGCTAAGTCCCAAACATGGTTAGATTCAGAGTCATTAAGGATGGAAAAGTCTACTAAGATCACACAGTCCAACTGTCAGCCCATCCCCACCATGCCCCTAAATGCCACATCTGCACGTTTCCTGAACACCTCCAGGGACAGTGACTTCTCCACCTCCCTGGGTCTTGTAGAAGCTTATGCAATTGGCCTTGACCCACCAATCCAGTCCAGATCCCCCTGTAGAGCCTTCCTACTTTCAAGCATGCTGGCACTTCTTCCCAACTTGGTGTCATTTGCAAACGTATTGAGGGTTCACAGTGTTTAGAAGCTTAATTTGTGAAGCATACACTACAAATGAATGGAGTGGATAAGAGGCTATCTCCGATTTCATGGGATTTGTCCTCATTAGCAAGTGAGAAAGGATTTTGATGTGACCTTGAAAAATCATATTAGCAAATATGATGTTAAGTACAAATTAGTTTTCTAATGAGGGTGAGTTGAAATGGGTAACAAAGTTCCTTTCCCTAATGCCAGCACCTGCTGAGAGATGAAATTTTGGAGCTGAGCTGTTGCAAGAGATGTGAATTACATAGTGATTTCTTTTTAATGGAAAGCTGAGTTTCAGAAGGATATTCCTCTGCAGAGTTAGCAAGCCAGGAAAAAGCAGCTGAGCTACACCTTCCAGGCTGAGAGGAGGCTGCTCTAGAAAGCATAATTAAGCACAACAAGGTATGTTATTGCACAAGGGTTTGCAGGCATCTTCTGCAGCAGAAACCTCAAAACAATCCTCTATTCTGATTTTAAATGTGAAATACAATTCAGTTTTGTTAGGCTTCATTAAGATAGTCTCAATTAGGGAGGGCAGCAAAATGGAAACACTGACGCCATAAAAAAATAGCACTTGCTGTCTTGGAGAATGGCAATCCCTCTGCTGTGGGAGAAAAAAAAGGAAAGTAGCAATTTTCTGCAAAATAGGTGTTTTGGAGGAGGGAAGGAAAAGAAAGGCACCTGGGAGCACTCTTACATGATCATTTATGAATTCTGTGTAATAGATCTTTTGCTAATTGCCTTTCTGTCATAGAAACCAAATTACTTTGTTTCTCTGGGCACTGTTCTGGGATGACACAAGTGGGACTATCATTTGCCATTTCCCTTCTATGAAATAGCGAATTTGAATGAGGAAAACATGGCTGCTCTTTCAGAAGCATCTCACCATAGTGCATAAAATCCTTCCCATTGGCCAAGGTGACAGAACAGGATAGGACAAAGCCCACCATTCTTCACTAACCTGATTTCTGAGCATTGGATAATCCATAAGAAAGTCCTTTGGCTTCTTGCCTGTGAGGAAAGGAAAGCATTTATAAACTTCTGCTCTCATAGCATTTCATCTTCTTCACTCCTTCACTTCAGCAGAGAGTCTGTGTGTTTAGCAGCTGAAAACAACTGTTCTCTTTTAGTTCCTGGAGGATGCATTTATCAGATTGTAAGGCACACAAACCCATATTTCCACACTTGGTTGTTTCCCCCATCTGTGTGCATGTTCTGAGTGCCGCTGTGCAAATTCCTTCTGTCTGAAGGAATTCCTTCATGGACTGGATGTGTGCATGTCGTTACATGTCACTCTAGCTAATGTTTTGGGTCTGTTCTTCTGAACATTTATTGATTTTACTGGAAATCCAGGGCAGATCCAAGTACTGCTCATGATGAAACAAGATCACCAGAGCTTTGTTTATGCTTCCAAATGCCTGGATGTTCATAGATGCATTTGCCTGTTCTACATTCAAGGGCAAGTTCACAGGAATGGACACTTAATTCAACCCAAAGTTAGCAATGCTTCTTCCAATTCTGACTTGTGATATAGAGTAGCTTAGTTTTATCTGCTTAACAGTGTATGTGTGCCATTCCTTAGAGATCAGCTGTGACTTTGGCCCATGTCTTTAATTGCCTTACATGATGAGGAAGCAGAAAGAACAAGAGGAGGAAAATGAAATAAAATGCTTCAGATAGCTCAAATGAATTCCCTGAATTTTTGCTCAGCTTTGGTGTGCAAACTGTTCCATCTTCAACTGCATTACATTTTCACATTTGTGGGTATGTGTAGGCTGAACAGAGCAGCCGGTTGCATTGGACTGTAAATTGGGGTGTGTAGTTCTGAACCTGCTTCATCCTTGTTTTCCTCTAACTAGGGGATGATTAAAAAAAAAACAATTTACAGCAGCATGAATTCTATTTGGAAGGAAGACTTAAAAAAAGATAATCTATTTCCAGTTTCCTGGTTTCTCTGGAAAGAGAGCACATATTTGATTGTGCCAGCTAGGATGCCACAAATATCTCCCATGACAAAAGACAGTATCTTACTTTCGTAGGGCTGCACAGATACAAATTCCAGAGAACAGGAACAGACACAGCACTATGAGGACTGGGACAATTATAGCTGTAAGCTTTAAGCCTGCATGGAAAAAATAAATGGATAAAAGTTAAAAAGGCAGATTACTCTGAAGATGGATATCTATTCCTACAGATAATCTTGCAGGAACACTCCTCGTGGGGGAGCATGTAAATGTAAAACTCTAGAACAGCAGAACTGCTCCTCAGCCATTAGCTGCCTGCCATGTACACGAGTGGAACGGTGTTGAGAAATACATTGAACTCTCAGTCTCTGGGCAGACACTTGGCACAATATCTGTAAGCATCCTTACACTGAGCAGTTTTCTTATTACATACTGGATAACTTTTTATAAAAAGCCACTTACAGCAATGCTGTTTTCAGTTACTTTTAAAGCTGCTAAATGAAGCTGCAATTTTCCATGCTGAGTATCTGGCTCCTGCTGATCTGGCTGAAACATTTCAGTCAAAATAATTCAAAGATTTCCAAGATTTGAGATAGGGAAAAATGTTTTGCCTGTGTTAAAAATGATTTAGAACAGGGATTTGGAAATTAGCCGTGAGGTGGCTTTTGTGTCAGGAGCATGCATTTCACTATTCCTGCAGACACTTTGAGAGTAAGGTAGTGCACATGTCCATGGGATATTTACAATTTAGCAGACAAAGTTTCAAAATATTTCATTTTCAGTGAAGATGGATACAATTTACCCATACCACTGCAGATGAACAGAGTTTGCTCTTGGCAAGAGCAATGCAGTTTCAGAATAATTTTTTTTTTTTTTTTTTTTTTTTTTAGTAACGATCACTTCTTAGAAATTCTTTGTTCACAGAGACAGTGCTACAACTATCAGCTACCCAACAGGTAGCAGTGTTTGGTACGCTGGGTCCTTAATTCCTGCCTGGCTATGGATCCACCAGTCAGCCAGTATGTACTACAAATTTTATTTGTTCACTTTTTTAAGATCTAAGAATTTACCTCTACTTAAAGGATAAAGATTGCAAATTAAGGCACTGAGGGAGAAGTATGAGAATTAATGTTGCCTGAACCCCCATGAACGTAAGCATTATGAAAAAAATGTTTAATTACACAATCGTGCACTACAGTATATCGCTTAGTGCTGGGGATCTGCTCTGAGAGGACTTGTGGCTGCTTAGAGAGAAGGTAATGTTTTTGTAAGACCACTGCTCCACATATAACAAAAGTTAGAAAATAGAGGGTGAGGAAGACAAGAGCTCCTCCAAAAATGCTACTGATGCTTGGGGCGGTCCATTGAACCTACAAAGCATGGCAAATAATCAATATATCAGGGAAGAGAAAGTCTGCTGTTACACGCATCAAGAAAAATTAAAGCTTTCAATTTCTTTCTGTGCCTCAAGACAAGAAGAAGCCAAGCTCCTCCCTCCTCTCTCTATAGTTAACCTTTAAAAATGTCTGAAGGGAAAACAAAAGTTTTGACTTGTGAGAAAGTTTACCCAGGCTGGGGTGAAGACATGACGTATCATAGAAAAAAATCAGTGATCATCTCTGTTACCTAAATTGGTTTCTTCTGATGGGATGGGCTCTGTAACGGTTCTGTCTTCTTTTCCAAGGGAGGTTTCTGTGCTCTGACTTGTTTTTTGCCACATCGAATGTGTAAATGAACTATTCACTGCAAAAAAGAGCAGGAAATGAGTTATTCTGTGGTAACACAGCACTCCTTTGGAGCACTGCGCCTTGGAAGCACTGTTTACCCCATACCTTGCATTATTCGACAACCAATCAGCTCAAGCTTCAATGCTATCCGTTGGTTCCAAGACTGAGGAATAATCCGCACATAACGGGCCACGATTGGGGGAATGAAATTATTACGTACAATGTCACCAGAGTCAGAGTTGCCTTGGAATACCTGCAACAAAATGTAAGCGTGTTATTTGCTGTGTTTCAAAAATCTGCTTCTCAAAAATGCTCCTGACTTCCAACTTTAAATATTTTTGTTATCCTAAAACTAATGTATCAGTCATCTGGGACATAGCCACAAGATTTTTGGAAATGGGAGCTCTGAAAAGAATCAGTCTTTTTAATTCTGGTAGACGATCACTTTTCACTGTTAGCTTAGAGATTATCCTTCTGTTTCCATTCTCTGTGATTTCTAGTTAATGTACACTGGTATAATGCAACATTTTTGATTTAATACTGCTGTGGGGCCCTCACTTGTGCATCAGGGAATACCTATTTATTTAAAGTGAAATATTTCAAACATTTCAGAAAATCGTCATCTTTCTGTACCAAGGCCAAAAAATGATCATTAACCCTGTAGCTGTATGTCCTTTGTTCTGTACTTCTTTCCTGGGATCAGTTCAGCCTGTGTACAGAACAAGTAATCCTTGCAATATTAGTTCTTGGAGATGCTTCAGCATGGCCTAGGAGAATGTATGAGCCCAATCAGATAAGAAAGTGAGCTCAGCATATCTGAGATAAGACACCAGGCTATACAGAATTCAGATAGGACAAGTTTTGTCATGTTTTTTTGGTTGAAATAGATTATATCTAATAATATTTTCATAGGATTATTTGTAAATAACAAATAACTGTGGAAAACTGCAAACCAGAAGATTCTAAGTGGCTAGCCTTCACAAAATTCACCTGTTACGAGACTGATTTTTTACTTCTTGGGCCAACATCCCCTAAAAAATCGTAAAGCAATTAACACTGTGCAGTGAAATTCCTTTCTTTACAAGCTGAGGAAATGGAATTCATAGCTAGAAGGAAATCTTTCCACAAGTCTAACAAGTTTTTAAAACCATAGTCAAGACTGAGCATCGGGTAGAGCGTTACCAAGCTCCCTCATAAAGGATTAGTGAAGATGATCTGACTAAGAACGCTGTGGGAGCAAAAAGGCTTCTGTATTTTTGTTTCAAAGGAAACAGGAGTTTCTCCCAGAAAAATATTAGCACATGCACTTGTTCATCACACCCTTTGCCTGCAGGAGCAAGCTGCGCTGCTTTTATCAGATTGTTGTTGAATTCATCCAGAGTCTCTGACAGCTGTTGTGTGGACAGTTGTGGGATTTCTTTTGTTTGTTTAAGAGCATTTAGTTTAAGTGCAGGTACATTGATTCCTAACAGACTTGAGCTGTTAGAAGAGTCAGGCCAGGGTTGGAAGTGGTGCAGTCCCTAGAACACTGTCCAAAGAGGAGCTCAGTCTGCAAACATAGACAATAGCACAGATATTTAGCTGAGCTAAATACGTCTCCAAATAGCCTCTTGTACAGCTTTAATCACCCTTCTTAATACAAACAGTATATGCACATGCACAAGCCTCTGTATGTATATCTCACAACTTCAGAAAGCCCTGGATATCTCCCTTGCTTCAATAAGCTTGCTATCTACGCCACAGCTGTAAACTACGCTGGTGAAGACGACCCAAGTCTGGACAAGTCTGAAGCTCCTGATCTTTCTTGTGAAAGTCTGTCCTTCAGTGTCAAGGCAGTGCAAAGATATTTTTCTCTGTGCTTTGCTTCCACTCCCACTTTCTCTTACCTTTTCTTCATTGCTTAGAATTCCTCTGTAAGTTCTCCATTTTGAGTTGTTATTTCTGTAGTTCAATATAAATGTCTTTACATAGAAATTAAAATTCTGCATAGTGGGTCCGGAACCAGTGGTTTTGATCCCTTTGAATGAAATACAGAATATATTTTCATGTTAGGTTTCTTTTTCAAGGCAAGATTTTCAAATGCAAACACACAGCACAACCAATTCAAAGACCTTTATGTTTGAAGCCTTAATTTATTTTTCAAACCACGTATGGAATTCAGTGGCCACTGAGTTTAAAGGTTGGGTCAAGAATAGAAATCAGCATTAAGCTGTGAATTTCAAGGATCTTCAATCAGAGCCTAAGTTAATGACTCCAGAAATGGTAACTGCTTTTTAATATTATGGTTCATATCCACAGTTGGAAAATATATGAAAACAAAATTTCTCAATACAGAATATTTACTTACATTCAATGAAACAAAGATTTAATTAGTGCATTATTAAATTTTCAACCATGTTTCGTTTCTTTCTCCAGTGGAAAACCCAGTTGCTAATAATCAGTGACTACCTGTTATTCTCTTCTTCTCTCCCAAGTCTATCTCCAACCATTCACGACTACTGCTGTGGTTAGAAGCCCAAGCCAGTCCCAGGACTTGAAGCCAGGCCTTGTCAGGAGACCACTGGAATAGCTGTCCAAATTCGTTGGTCTCCTCCCAGTAGGAAGATGCAGTGATCTGGCTCTTGGAGAGGAATCCCTCTTCCAGACTGAGAGACCTATTGCAGCCTAGGAGACCCAACACAGACAGGCATAAGCAGTTATTTTGCATTTTAACAGTCTATTTTCATATTAGGCAGACAACATATGAAGACCATTCACAACAGCCAAGGCAGACATTGCCTAATGTGGTGCTAACCTGATGCTATCCATTAGTGTTTGTCAGTCAGTTTGTAGTGGATAATCCAGTGTCAGAATGTTGCAGTCCCTCTCCTTTACCAGTTGGCTCCTACATACACACTTTCTGACTACTGAATCTGTTATTTTTTCTTTGTCATTTTGGTTTTTAATCTCTGCAGTCTTGTTTTGTTTATGTGAAGACTTCTTATATTTTATTTTTCTCTTTCTGAATCATAATATTTATGTTTAGAGTTTGGCATTAACTGATTTTGCTGTACAAAACATTTCTAAAATGAAGGCACTTTACTGAAAGGAACGCTTTACTGTAAATATTTCATGTTTTTCACCTGCAATTAGGGCTAGGAAAGTTCCTCATTAATGAAGTTCCTTGTTACTGCTGCCAAGAGGTGATATCATGAAGGTAATAGCTTCAGGTAAGCATTATAAAATCCACCAAAGAACCCACAAAATATCTGCACATCAAGGTTCTTCAGAGAGAACAGGCCAGTGCAATATGGTTTCAATGAGTTAAAAATAATTTCCTGACAATTACAAAGGTCTATACATGTTCTGAAGTTTTCACTGGAATAGTAAATGATTTTATCTAAGATGACTGAAATATAATTCAAATGAATGAGCACGAACTTTTCCCCCTGCTTTTCTATGTTTTATGCAAATTAACAGCTCGACAGATTAAAGACATTTTGCATCTTTGAAAGTCATAAACAAAAGCTAGTTCTGTATAAGTTCAATGTAAATATATTTCCATCCCTCTGTATGTTTTAGTTCTTGTATAATGAAGATGGAACTAATAAGTGTCTGAAGAAAAACTGCTTTCATTTTCTGCCACCTAAAGTACATAAAAACGGAATTATCTGATTGCCATTTTTCATATGCTAGCACCCGAAATGTAATATCAGAATGCTATTCCTTTTTCTCATTTATGTGCAGATGACTTATTCCTATTCTGTTTTTTTTTTTTTTTTCCAGCTCACTTCACCTCACTTCTATTTTTTATTCAACCTGCCAATTTTTTAAAAAATAACCATCCTAAAATACCATTTCTAGACACAGCCTAACATTCTTCCGATTACTTTCCAAAACTTTTGAGGAAATACTTAAATAAAAAGGTAAAAATAAGGCCATTATTCTTACCATTTGAAGTAAACATAAACCGCTTATCTGACAGCGAGCCACTGTAAGAGAAAAAGGTAATTCACTCTTTGAGGAAACAGCCATAGGAATGATAAGAAATAGGTGGCTTTGGCGCTACACAGAATAACTTTTTATCCAGCAAAGTATCTCTGGTCAGGCAACTGTTTGCAGTGCTCTTGACTACCTACCCCTTCAGAATGCTCTCATGCATCCCATGCTGTACAGAATCCAACACAGTTCTAGCTTTCAGTATTTGCTCTGCTCTAGGATGACTGCCCTCTCCCCACCCTGTTACTCTTTCTGTGCACTTTTGCTTCACTCTTCTGCACAGGATCTTAATCACTGCTGCAAAATCTTCCATCCCCTAATCCTCAGACCAGCAAAATCAAAGCACGCTGAAGAAGCCAGGAAAGCACTGCTTTAGCATGAGGAAGGGTTCTCTTCTCACATCAGATTAAATTAGAGGAACTTTACTGAAATCTGTGAATTTTTAATGGTGTAAGTCCACACTGGTGTAAGGCCACATTGGTGTAAGAAAATTGCCTTAGGACCAGTGAAAGAGTTATGCCTGACTATGACTAATGCATATTAGCTCAAGCCATTCCTTTTGCCTCAGTCAGGCAATGAAAACTGCCCATTGCTTTAATCTGGCTCAGATTAAACAGATTACATTCAGATTAACAGTTTGGTTCTGTTATAGCCACATTCAGCAGCTCTTCGTAGGAGTTCTTCTTTTTGTTCTGTTAACGGATCTGTGGTTTCCCTGTTCTTCCCTGCACCATAAGCTACTTCACTTCTGGAGAAAAGCCATTTCTTGGGCCACCCTCCACAACTCTGCAAAACACAGAACATCACCCAATGACTATAGCATGGAAAACTGTGCTCTCAGCCTCGCCATGGAGCCACTTTTCCTTCTGATTCTCACTGCGATCCCAAAATGATTCCTTCAGTTGTCTTCACAATAAAAATAAAAGCTTGGGTTTCAACATGAAATTCAGATTTCCTGAAAATCTGGCTCTTTCTGTGCTGCTCCGTGTGGCCTCATGCATCAGGTGCCCCTCTGAAAGCTCTTGGCCAGTGTGACTGAGTGGAGTACTCCAGCACTGAGCCAGCTCCATTAGACTGCCTTTTGCTGCCAACCAGGAACACTTCAGGTTGCCCAGGGAGGTGGTAGGTGTCCTGTCCACGGAGACATTTGAGGCCAGGCTGGCCAAGGCTCTGAGCAGCCTGATCTAGCTGTAGATGTCCCTGTTCATTGCGGGGGAGCTGGACTAGATGGCCTTTCAGGGTCCCTTCCAACTCAAACAATTCTATGATTTCCTCAGAGGTTACCTATACAGTTTAACAACCTACAGCCTGACAGCAGTGCACACAGCCATATGGTTTTTAAGTGCTGCAAATCAGGAAGTGGAAAGCGGTCTGGTGTCAAGGTCAATAAGAACACTGCTTCTTTTTGTCACTGAGGAAAAGCCAATGCCTGCAGGCAAAAGAGGCCCTATGGGGTGGGGGAGAGTACTGGGAGGGAGCAGATCTATTTGGGCACGTAGGCAGTGGAGTCACTAGAATGAGAAATTCAGTCCCTCCCTCCCACATCATTCCCCAGGCGATCCTCGTGGGCCATCAGATGTGTTCTGCTTACTTCCAGCCAGCTCAGAACCGCAGCCAAAACCATTTTTGCTTTCTTAGGGAATACAAAACAATCCAGTTCAAGAGAAGAAAAGAAGAACTGACTGCGATCAGTAAAACCTACTGAAAACAGCAGCATTTCTCAAATATGTATTTATGTGCTATCCCTATGTAATAAAAAAAGTCACTGAGCTCCCTTTCAAACTACAAGACTGCAATTTTAGCAACCAAAGGGAGGAAGTTAGCACTCCTAATACCTGTAAAGCTATAAAATTGGGCTGAAATATTTCTGCTATAATTCTGCAAGTCACAGAAGAAGACAAACTAATTCAGTAAGTGGCAATTCATCAGTTTCATAATGTGACAAGTGGCATTTGTCATACAGATTTCACTTTGTCCTTTGAGGGATGGCATCATCCCATGCTCTTTGTTTTCCTGCTTAGCCAGCAGCACCGCTGTCAGGACTGCATGGCAGACCTGTGCTGGTGCCTCTGAGAAAAAAGAAAAAAAAAAAAAAAGAATGCTGCTTCACATTATAAGTTTGTGTAAACCTCAAATCCTTTATGCCAGCATCTGTCCCAAGGAAGCTTTTTATAAGCAGCACAGGTTAACCCAAATCTCATACTCATAGTTCACAGGCATGCGGGCTCATCCATTTTCACAGGCAAATGACTTCACATGTGCAGATGTTACAGTTACAGGCCTCCACAGGCAGCTCACATTACAAACTTAAGCCCCGTATATTTGTCCTTGGGTAGCAGAAATGCTCAATAAATCCTGCCACTTGATATTCATTATATCATTTGTGGGTTCAGGTCTGCACACGGGGCATGAGAGTTGGAAATCTCATAGATAACTGAGCATAACAAGCTCGTTGAAAAATGGAATCAGGGAGGCCAAGGTCAGGTCTTAAGGGCTGGCAAGTGAACGATTCATAGCTCTGCTGGTACTTTATAACACAGATATTTAACAGCTCGGTGCACACAAGCAGCAGCTTTGACGAGGTCAGTTTCAGCTCAAGTCACTAAATAATTTAAATCTTTAATACTGAAATCCGCTATAAATGAGATCTTTAAAAACTCAAGTAAGCTTTCATTTAAGGCAGGACAAAAAGCTGGTACAACAATGCTATCCTCGCACTTGTTTTTCCTTGCTGGTGCTTGCAAGGAAAAAACATTCAAGGGAATGTATTGCAGTGCGGAGGTGTCCCAAGGACAGGGAAGCTGGGCAGCTTTGGGAATACATATTATAAAAAACTTTTTTAAAGCATGATGCACTTTTTAATTTTTCATAGTAAATAGGCCATCTGCTTCCAGGAACACATTTCCATGTTTTGAGATAAAATGATCTCCCTGCACCCCCCAGTTTACCTCCCTTGGTACAATGAGGTCACAGCAGTGTTTCATCTGCTCCTGGGACTGTCCCAGCCACCAGGGGCAGCAGAAGCATTCCAAGAATCGCTGTTCTCACCCTCCAGCATTTCTACAAATCACGCATCTCACTTGTAGGCATCTGACATGCTAGGAGCCCATGTAGCTTTGTCTCTCTGTATGATCTGCAGAAAGCATTGGTTGATCCCTCAGGGCAAAACCATTCCTTTGGGAGAGCACTGTCCTTGAGGAATACCTCTGCCTACCCCAGTGTGCAGGAGGTGATGGCACTCCTCACTGGGATGCTCTCTGGGGTGCCTCACACTAACTGGGATGAATCCAAGCCGGGAGGCCTGTTTCAGCACCAGAGTACACATCTCTGCTCTTGTTTGAGTTAGTGGGACTTCTATCACTCGATGTAACAGTTGTTTTCCTCTCTGCAGGCACTTTCATTACTCACGTGAAGTGGATAACTCATTTTGAGTAGCAACAATAAAAGGATGGTTGGCAGTGAAGTTCATGGGTTAATTATGCAAACTGTGTTTTTCCCCAGCATGTCTACATTTGCTGTCTTCTATGCTTCATTCGTTGCTCACTAACTCTTGTACTGTGAAAAAATGCAAGTGGGAATCCCAGCTGTCTTTCATTATACCATTTTATGTGCTACTGTCTGAGTTACTCCTGGGATTCTCAAGGATCACACACATACAAATGTATGTAAATGGTTCTACAACCTCTGTAATTAAGGCACAAAATATTTAATTTCCTACGATTTCATAAAGCTGGCATGTGCGATGGAAATAAATTGTATTGCTTGCTTTATGGAAAGGCTCACTGCTGAGCTGAGCCCTCAGTCCTGCTTTCCTTGATACAAGATTGTATCATTTTTCCATTTATTTTAGCTGTGAAGCAACATACTTAAAGAAAATAGAAAATATTTAGGCCTTAGAGGCCTTCTGCTAGTTGTCTACATGCTACTCACTTTGTATTCAGCTAATCACAGTACCAATATACAAAGACTTTCCACCTGCACCTAAGGTTAAGCAAAGCAATAGACAGAATGAATGCCCATGTCTTCTGTTGGGTTCACAATGTGAATGTGGCCAAGGTCAGTGGGAACAAGGCTTAAAAATTAAACATTTGATTACATAATTTACTTATCACATGCAGGAGTGAGATGCATATACAGATAGTTTAAAATTAGCTTTGATTTCAGTACCAGCATGTTTCATAGTGATTTCATAATTGGTCTGCCTTTTTTGCTTCACTGAGAGAAGGGAGAAGCCAAATGTTTACTGAACGGCTGATATGGTTCTGTAGGATTTCTTCTTGATCCTTTTTTTTTTTTTTTTTTTTTTTAACAAACAAAACAATGATTGTTAAATTGTTGGGAGGATGTGGAGCAAACATAGGGGAAATAGGAAAAAAATGAAAAGTCATATTCCCTTGGCTCTTGTAGTCTATGGGGCTGAGGAGATTTTCCTTCCCATAAGAAAAAATGCTTATTGCAAAACCCAGATAACATTTAAAAATTCAAAATATGAACCAACGGAGATGACAGAGGCAGTTGCTGGAAGGGCTTACTGTACTGGATAGAGATTAGAGGATTTATTTCTACTTCAACAACAGTGCAATTATAAGTCAGAAGATAAGTGGTAAATATAACACCCTTGCTATAAATATTCTAAAAGAGAAAAATTCTGAACACGTCAAAAGCACAATGTTTAAGAAGGTATTCATTAAATCCCCCGTGGCTCAACGGCACTTTCTATTTATTTATTATTCCTAGGTGGTTCTTTTTTTCCACTTTAACATGAATTTAGCATGACTTATTAGTACATCTATTAAAGATGTTTGTTACAGAACATCATACCTTCACTTATCTGCTAAAAAACTAATTTGCAAATGTATTTTGGAAGGAAAGGAAAAAAAGAGAGAGAAGATACAGCCCTAAACTTTATAAAGCCACATAAACTTGAAACATTTTCCTACAATCTCTGCCAACACCATGTTAATAAAGCCATAGAGACAAACCCACAAGCCCCCCAAAACCAGCAGCTGACATCTCTTTCCCCAAAAAGCATTGGTGTGGTGTCTCCCCTCCATTTGATGACCTGGCCAGTACACTGGGGTCTGGGACTGCTCCCAGAACCAGTGGTGAGTAAGTTAAGTTCCTTCCCAACACCCTGTGCCCCAGAAATACTCACTCATGTGAGGAGATACCATTGGCGACAACGCCTTCATAGCGGCTGATGCCCTTCTGCTGGGTGACACTGATCTGACCGCCCAGTTCATCTGCAATAACACCTGCATGTATCGCCGACTTGCACAGCAGCGAGGTCTGAAAAGTAGAAGCCATCAAAACCCCAAATTGAGAGGGCAAATCTGACAAAGTGGCAGCGCTCTCACTTCCAAGCCAAGCTGTGGAAGTGTTAAGAGCTCATAAAGTCCTGCAAAGGAATGAGAGCAATAGGGACAGACTTAAAAAGAAAGAACATTCATCTTTGAAAAAAATACATGCTTCCAAAAGTCAAGTTTTTCTCAAATGAAGAATGTAATCATCTGGTTCTAGGAAAATGTGGTGAAGTTTTGACCTGATAAATATTTGGCCCACTTCAGGAAAACAAAGTCAAAGGCAAAGCAACCACTCTTCACTGCAAAGAGAAAACAATAATGGCTTTTGCGGACTGACCTGCAGCCAGACCTACCTGTTACTGCACAGTGCCTTAAGATTTGAGGCATGGCATGCATTGGGAAATGTGGCTGTGTGTCATTCACATGAAGCCAGCTTGGGCACCTCTAGCACCTGGCAAGAAGGGCTGTCTGCCTGCCCCTTCCAGGGAGGGCTGGTGTGCTGGGACACTGGGGTAGTAAGGCTCCACGGAATCCTGGAGGTCTTTCTCATCAGAAAAGCTGAATCTGTGTTAATGGCGGAGGGAGAATTTCCTTCAAAAACTCCTCCGCCTAGATAACATCTGCATGAGGTCATGTCATGTGCTGCTTTTCTTTCCCAGTCACCCTAGACAGCAGGAATAACTCCAGCTAATTAGAATGTAATGTGGCATTTCTTTGTTTTTTCAGCTCTGCCATTCTCCTGGATGGGATGGTGTGCTTGAGTAACTGGATGAACAGGTTATGCATGGACTGTCTGGAGACTCAGCAACTGCTTTGTTTGTGATATGGTGGGGTTTTACTTCAGTGGTAGGATTAATCTTAACTCCACTCAGAAAGATGTCGGGATTTCAGAGGCATACAGGACACTGAGGGGCACAGGACAGGCAGAGCAGTGCATGATAGGAACTGGGGATAAATGTAACCACTCAGGCAGCTTTGCTTTAAATAGTGAACAGTTAATAAAAACAGATCCAAAATGGTTTTAGTTATGGTGGTATGTGATTGGACAGTGTATAAAGTTAATTTCATCTCAGAGCATGTTCCTGCAATACTGAAGGCTGAATCTTAAAAAAAAACCTTCAAGTAATGGAAATGCATTTTATTCCTCTGAGAGATAACATCAGAAAAGAAATGCACATGGATTTTAAACAAGTATAAAGTAAATTCATAGGAGTACTTAGGACATCAAAGAACACTGCCTCAAGAAGGAAAAACCCCATACATCCTAAAGGCCAGAAACCTGGAGTTAGTATGTTAGCTTGGCAATCAGTGGACTTTATTCTCACACAATTGATTAGTCTGTTTGAAAAGTATTTCAGTATGTGCTCAATGTACACTGATAACATACTAATATACTGATAGTAGAACGTAACACAGCTGGGAAGAACTATTTACAAAAGAAGTGCAGCGAAAACTGAAACCAAATTGTGAAACCAAATGTAACAGAGCAATGGACTGTCTTTTCTGTTCTTATTAAGCTCCCCTCTTTATATTGGGTACTTACATCTCTGTATCCTTCTTCTATATTCCCAGAAATGTCACCTGCTATGTCTCTGCAGCCAGCAGGACAGTATCTGCTGTAGTAAAAGAATAAGGCTTATTTAAAACCTGAACTGTCATGATGACACACAGAAACAAACCCATGCAAAAGAAATGCTCTCAGACCCCATAGATACTTCAGCAATATGTTCTGGTTGACTGTTCATTAGTGATTACAGAAGGTAAATAGAAGTGCCCTTGAGTGGACTGCACATAGCAGCACACAAAGAACTACAATAAAAGTTCTTCAAGTGCATTTTGTTCAATCCTGTTGTTCTAGGAATGTTATTACTCAAGCTTTCAGCCCAGATAAGAAGTCTGCATGCACATCCAGGCAAGTAACCAGCAAAGTACAATTAATTACCATTTCAAATCCTATCAAGGAGCCCAGAAATTATAGCTTGTCCTCAGATGATCTTTTATCAGCTGAGGCATGATCTGCTCTCAGGAGATGCCATGGTATTCAAGGCTACTTTGAATTTCAAAGTGGAAATTCTTTTTACATATACCATATGCATGCATTCCCAAATGAGGATTGCTGAGAGCTTTGTAACAATATTCTCTTGTTTTCCTGGGCTGCAGATTTCCATTCTGCACTAGTGCTTCACACGAGGCCTGACACTACTGCAGTATTGTAGCTCAAAAACATTCACTTTTGCAGAAAACTAAGACTGTTCACGTCTTATGTGACATTTTACAGCAATTTGACCAGGTGACACCGAAAAGTAAGAAACAGTGAAGAAAGATATAAACCTTCTTTACCTGTATTCAGTCTTTGTGTAGTGGTTTGCTCGTTCCAGACATGTGATTAGATCTGTGGAATGTTTACAAATGTCAATCCAAGTTGCAAGACATAGAAACACAGAAAAATGTTTGGCTAAACATGAAATTGCATTTGGAGACTTCTCTGTATAATACTTAGAGATAAAATAACAGCTATGGTTTTCCCTCATCCTTTTCATCTCCCACTTCTACTCATGTTTTACATACCTTCAACAAAGATTCATAGGAACACTCCCCAGAATATTAAATGTAGATTTTGTCTCTTCACCTCTCCAATCGCTTCATCCTATCACTGTGTGGTAAAAGCCCTGAATACAGAGGCTTCTCATTTTCTGTTTCACTGGACCTGTTCTGCAAATTGTCTAGGTAAGATTTCAGCAGCTTTTTTATCTGCTTAATGTTACTGTTGCCTCTCGTACACATGCTGTCAAAAAGATGATATTTCATGCCAACAAGACACCTGAAAATATTTAGGACCAAACATATAGGTCAAAGTCTGTGGTAGAGAAGATAATGAAGTAGGGAGGACTATGCTGCTCGTTCTTTAGAAAAAGTGCTTTACCTGGATGATCACTGCTGGCATAAGATAACAGAAAGCCTCGTCCTGATATATGGGATCCACTCTCAAAGTGGATAGTTGCTTCATTGCTGTCCAGAATGATTTCTTTGGGGACAGGCATCATATTACCACAGTAGGGTCCTACAGACAGAACGAAGATTTCAGAGTTTAGATGAGATAGTTAGGCTGGAATATTCTCATGATAAATAAGGAATTTCATGACATGCTCATTCTCCTTCAGAACCAATCAACATGTTGACAAAAGGGCTTTAGCTTCAGTCCTTTATGGGTATGAGCTTCAAAGTTACCTTGACAAAGAATGGCAAGAATCCAATTGTCCCTTCACGGCATAAATTCTAGCATTAACATCTCTCATCACATAAGCCTCAAGAAAATGATTAATACTCTTCCACCTTTGAAGTAGAGTGTTCTTAAATACAGCACTAACTCAAGAGAGAAAATAATGGAATGAATGTTGAAAGGCAATCCAAGGAATCTACAGAGGATCTGCTATAGCTGCTTCAGCAGAGCAGCTATTCTGAAAAGCTTAGGAACACAAACAGCACACCTGGTCTTAAAGGATGTGTGTGCCATGTGTCAAGTTTATGAGCAGAAACTGTTTAGAAAATTTCTGCATTTACTGGCATTTTAAAAACATCACCAGACCATTGAAATATATAGTTTAGATTTCCTGAGCTTAAGACAAAGTAAAGAGGGACAGGAAGGGAGTAGGAAAAGGAGACACGAGTCTTGTGCCTACACTGAATTAGATAATGGTTTTATAGCTACCAACTGCAGTATCTTGGAGCACTCACAGGACAGGACACTCCTTTCTTGTACCAGCTCTCACAATTACATTTGCTTCTTCAGAAGACACTTCCTGAGGGGAGCTTTCTTTTGAAATTGCCACAGTCTTGCCTTCCATCACCATACCAGGGTGCAAACATTTGTCTCTGGCTGCCCTCAAGCACAGAGGACACAGGAAATCAAAAGCACTTTGGATACATTTTGAATTTAAGGGGATGTTTACAGTATAAAGTGCTAATAAGAGGTTTTGTAAAATGGCAAACACTTTCCTACTTAGAAGCCATCAGACCCACCCATTCTGTTGAGAACTATAACAGCTTTTGTATACTAAAGCAAGGCCTTGGGATGGAAAATGATCCCTTTGACTTTTTTTCAGGACAGTCTCATTTTCTTGGTAGTGGATACTTTATGGTACCTTAGAACTGAGAGTACAAGAAATCGCAATCAAAGTACAGCACAAAATTGAATAGCCTTCTGAACAGGTGTCTAAAAGTCTCTTCATTTTGTTTGATACTGTCTTTCCCAAATACTTAATCAGCCTTATAGCAGCTAGGAGATCATCCTGTAGAGTAGCCCAGTCAGAGGCAATGACAGCCAGCTGTCAGCTGAAGGGGACAAATTAAGGGACAGATTCTGTCTTTTGGCTTATAAAATTATAACAAAGCCAGGCAGGCAGAGAAACAAGTGACAATTGTGACATTTCCCTCGAGTACGACTGTGTCAAAAATGAGTCACGATTTAGTTAGAGAAAACAATATCTATAAAAAGGGTTAAACAAATTGCTTAGGAAATGAACTTATCAAAAAGGGAGCATTTGACACTGTGTCATACCAGACAATTGCACGAGTGTTTTATTTGAGAAGGTCTTTTGTGTCAGAATGCAGTGGGAGAAGTGCTAACTTAGAACTTTATTTTTCTTCCAAAGTATAGGAAGAGAGAAAGAGAGAAAGGGAAGAAGACAGGAAGGCGTTGTGCTTCTTCAAAATGAAACACCTGAGAAAGCATTAGTCCTTTTCTTGTCTCAAGGACTGACTATACATTTTCTCACCAATGCTCTTTTCCTTTTTCCCTAACAGCGATTAGCAGTGACATATCTACTCTGTAGGTATAATTTTGATGGCTGACTCACTCAACCACACACCAGCTGGGTCAGGATTAGCTGTCTCCTCCAGTAGCAAGTCTACATGTGTTCCAGGTAATTATACAAACAAATCACATGTCATAAGTAAAAATGATAAAATAAGAAGGTCTAGGCTCATAGAGTTTTATAATATGAAAGCCAATAATTCAGAAACAGATTAAGAAATCAGCATGCAATGCCTGAAGACAAGTTTATACTGTTAAGTAATAAATCTAATAAGGGTTACAAATCTATGGTTATCTCCTAGTTCTGTCAAGGGTGGTTCTGGTGTACCCAGAGACAAGTGTGTGGCTCTAAAATAAGAAGATCTAGGATCAACTTAGGTTATCATAAAGGATATAAAAGCAAGAAACAGTAACCACTGAAGAAATTAATACTTTCCAAAATTGTATGAATCACCTCACTTGTTCTCTCATTGCAAACAGATGAAGCTTTGAAAAGTATTTCAACACAGTACTTCCCAGTAGTTCCGGTAACATCAGCAATACACAGCCAGGTCATCAAATATCCATAATATCTAGTAAAGTTTAATTGCATGTATGATATCAAATACAGAAATTTGCACTGAGAACTATGGTTTAGAAAAGGGTCTAAGCACCACCTCACATCCCTCTTCTGTTCTTGGAGATACTGTTGGTTTCATTATGTGAAAGAACTACAGGCATGCAGCCAGTTTTTTGAAAAAGTGTCCTCTCCAGTTCTTAATAGTGAGCAATGCAAGCACATCTAATTTACTGAATAACATAGCTTTCTGTTTAGCAGCTAATCTCTCCATTTTGCCCAGTTTTTGCAGTGACCTTTTGACCTCTGATTCTCATTTTCCCCCTCAATCAATTCATTTTACACCAACAGTCTTTCAAGAAATTCCCCATATGAAACTGGTAATTCTTACTAAATAAAATGGATTTGGGGTCAAGGCAGTTCTTTAGGGTCAGTTTGAACTGAATTCTCAGTTTGGAGAATTTTGTTTCTGTCTTCTAATTTCCTTCAGAAAAATAATGAGACTGTTTTTAACTACATGTACTCTTTCCTATGCACTTGCAGCACAGCCGCTCTCCATTTGTTTAAATATTATAGAGCCCGAGAAATCAAACTCTCCCAGACTTCTGAGATTTTGGTTCATGCTGTGCCTGAGTGAGATGCACTTTCTCTACACACAGTAGCACCCAGCATATTTGCTCTCCACTGACATACCTAGTGTCCCTTTAAATACACAGATTAGGAGATTTTATACACATTAATAGATTAAAACCCATCAGCATCTGTAGCAATTCTACTTAAACTGAAACTGTATTTCCTAAGCAGTATTTTCCACTTGCAATTGAGGTGACAAGATCACGGATCTTTATCATCTACTTCTAAGATTCACATACGCTCCCTCTTTTCTCTGAGTATTGCATATAGAGTCTGTTGACAGCCTGTCTACATGAATACTGAGCAACCTCGGTGGAGAAGAGGGATGAAGGAGAAAACTTTGATTTGTGCCCAGTTTGAAAGGGAGAAACTCATTTAAAGGTCTTGTTAACTTTTATTGCAGCATTTGGACTTGACTCTGGAGAAGCATTTAATTTTTATACTTGGGACTATGCCAAAAGTTTTTAAGATTCCTTTTGAAAACTGCCAAATCACTTTATCAGTTTTTCATCTTCTAAAGTTAGTTGTGAGGTGGGTCGCTTTGCATATTCAGCTTGAAAAACAAGTCATGAATGTTGATCTCTCTCCTCGCTTCCTCTTCCAGCGACTCTGCTGGATGTCTGCTAGGGTAAGGAGGAGGCAGGGTTGTTTGGTTTGTTTACTAAGAACAAAGGAAAGGTTTTGACTTAATAAACAGATGTGTTATATGTCATGAAATTGAGTAGGCGTTCCCCATACTTCAGTATTAGTATATCTACATATCAGGGCCTTTCTTTTTTTGGCATCTTGCTGAAGAGCTGACATAACTGTGGTTCCGCCTGTTCGCTCCAGATTCATTAATAGAGATGTATTTTTTAAATTCTGCAGGAGAGCTATTAGGGGCTTATGGGTCTTGAATGTTCCTAATTTAATATTCTCTAAAATTAATATTTAATGCTTTTCTTCTAGAACTCCTAATCTGTTGATATGGTTTAGGTGGCTCAAATGAAATACTCTTATTTTGAAATTATTGTCTCCAAGCAGTATTAATGTCCTGGGAAATACACGGTGAATGGTCTCATGTATATCCTTTGGCTGCCTCCTCTAGAGACCAAAGAAGTTATTTTATGCTTTGTTTGTTTTTAAAATGTTAGCAATAGTCTACCACTTTTGTCTTTTTGATAATAGCATTGTTTTGCAAATCTGATGATCTTTACAACGTTGTCTGTTTTTATGAAGTCTAGTTTACTTCTACTGTCAGCCAGACTCTGGAACATTTCCTGAGGTCATTTTGTAGAGTTGTGCTCCTTTATTCTTTCTACTTCCCTTAAGAAGTGCTCTGCCAGAGGGCTCACTTCTCTCATACCAAGCAGCAAGGCCTACATACTGTTTGTTTCTGCAGGTTTTGAAGTACCTCAATAGCTGGAGAAGGACAGGGGATATGATGAACATGGATTATGCCTGCATCATTTCAGAGCTAAAATCTCAGCCAGTTTGTAAAAGATTTGCACAAACAGCTCACAAAAACTACAAGGATTGCTTGTGTGAAGATGTGCATTTTTGAAATTTGTCTCCATCCTACATTCATACATATGCTTCACTTTTATACACAATGACTGAGCATAGCTGATAACTCTTCTCCTGCTACCAAGAAAAAGAGAAGAGAAGACTCTACTGTGCGGGGCAGAATAAAGTGGTGTTTAATGCTCAGTAGATATGAGTTGACAGGGAAGTCACATCTATTACTCAGGGTGAGACAGTCTGATTATTCAGCATTTAACTCTGCACAACACAGTCTGACTTCAGAATAAGTCTAAGAGTTACTTGTTTTAGGAAGCAGTCAGGTAAAAGAAGTAATTAATTACAGTTTATAAACAGAGAGCCCGGGCCACCTGTCCTCCAGGCTGTAGGTCTGCCTGCCTGACCTCACCTAACACTGTGCCTGCGGTATTAGCTAAACCCAAGGACAGAAGCCCAGCTACAGTTTAAGAATCTTTAGCAAAGAGATGTACCTGTTTAACAAAATAACTCAAAAAAAGCACAATATAGTTTATGAATCTCAAATGAATACGAGGTCATTTGATAAAAGAAAAGCAAAGTCAGTTGTTTTACAGCTAAATCTTTTGAAAGCTGCTGTAACCATTCAGGCGAAACCCAACTGTTAACAGAGTTTTGACTGTTAAGAAATCGCTCGGCTTCATCTTCAGTGAGAACTTGTCCGGGCATTTCGCTGGATTTCCTGAAATACCAGAAACAATACTGCAATAACAAGTTTCCTTTGAGGAGTGAAAAAGAAGCCTGGGCGCACCCTCTGTTCAAGAAAGATGCATATTACAATCTGTAGTAAGAAGGGTGGTTCGATGAATCCCCTCTCACCATGATGACAGGTGTGGGGCACTTGAAGGCATTTGGTTCTCCTGCACACACACACAATGCACGCTCACTCTCCGCAGCCACCAGGCACTCACAGGTCAGTGAGTGCTCAGTTTTCCTAACAAGCATCAGTGAATGGCTGCAGGGAGAAAAGAGCATTTCCAATAACCTCTTTTGCTATTTCACACTAGTTACTGAGTGCAAATTATGCAAGAAGTTAAATGCGTTAACTCTCCAAATTATTACTAGTCACTCAGCAGATCTGACATCCACCCCAGAGGAACACATCAACCTCCTACTGACTGCAAGTGAATGGAAGTAGGCACTTATCTGTTCTTTATTCTCTCTCCAGTCAAAGACTTATGATCGTCTCACAAAAATTAAGGGAAAAAACACTAAGCCATTAGTTGAGAAAAGAGTGAAAAAGGCAAGCAAAAAGGGTCAAAAGAGATACAGAAATTCGATAGTCATGAAAAGAAGCTGAGCAAAAGCCATTTCTGTCAAACCTTAAAAACATTTTTGTTAATATGTTCATAAGTGGTGTAGCAATGGCTGTTGTGTTCCTAAGAACTACAGGGACCACATGGTTAATCTTGTTTTCACATATCCCTTTAACTAATTAAAAAATCAGAAGCTGTTTTCAGAGCTCGGTATTTTTAATATGCTCAGCTAATGCAATTAACTCTAGAAGAAAAGCATTTCAGAGAAGGCTGTACCCTGTCCACACTATGAAACGTGCTTAATGTTATTTTCTATTCTAGATCCCTTCTGTGTGGAAAATAAAAGAAGCAAACAGAAAGAATCCACCCTGTTTTTGCTCAGTGCAAAGCTGTGCCTTTGAAAAAGGACACTTTATTTCTCCCAGAGACACCATGTGCAGAGTTGTGTTAACATTTAAAGATTTACCAGACACAGGTGACTCATTTTCAGTAAAACTGGTGTTACTCTACCTCTACTGACTGATGGTGAATGTTTTCACATCTAAGTCTGAATGGAAAGCCAGAAGTTGGAAGAAAAGGCTTACTACAGTGTCATTCCTCCTGTTAACCTCGAAGAATAATAACCCTGAGACAGAATGTTCAGCCTCTTTATGGCTCCAGTTTTAGAGCATCATTAAGATTATTTAATGACCATCTTTTGATGGCAATATTGTGGAAGTGTAAATGCAATGGCTGCCTTCATAGGTTCATCAAAGCTGAGAAGTATCAAAAGTGAGAACTGTACTGTAAAGTTTGTGTTCCATATGAGTGGGGAGGATTAGTAGATCAGCATACTCAGTGCTACATGTCATTCTAGGAAGGAATTAAATCCAGAGTATTCCTGGGTAGGCGTGCAAGATGGGATGAATGCCCTGAACTTAAACACATCTCACATATCAGTGTTCTTTTGCCTAATCCATAGTCATGGGCTTGCTAAAGCAAAGAAATCACCTGGCTAACATAAATCCACTTGTTTGTAACAGTTTCCCTTTGGTGCATGGGACGCAAATACCCCAGACATGAACTGAGTTACTCCTTGTGTATTCCATGAATTCCGGCAGGAGGTTATTATAATGAATGAATCACAGTTATATATAAAGACCTGTGGGACAAACTGAAAGGACAGATTACTTTGTCATCAGAAGACTTGCTTACACTAATGTATTTACATGCACATGGTGTGGTGTTTTGTCTCTGATCAATTTTCTAGGCTTCAGATGCACTCCTCAATAAAATGTTGCATGCATACTGATATTGCCTGTCTTGTATTCTGTGGAATTGAAGAGATCAGAGTAGTATTTAAAACATATTTCCCTTTGGACCTTATTTCCTGATAATTGCAAAGAGCAGAGGCTGTCTGGCTAATATGAAGTATGAATAATGTTCACACTGCTGGGTTTCACACTCTGCTTTTTAGATTTTCCTTTTTAAGCCCTGATCAGGTACAGACATCCCCAAACAGTCAAACATTAATTTTTAACTTCTAGAAGTTCCAATGCCTTCAAAGTATTTTCAGATCTCCATCATCTTATTAAAAAATTCAATGGCAAAGGTCAATATCTTCCTGAATGAAGATACCAACCTGCTTCATGGAAGAGAGGAGAGCTTTAGAAAGAAAACCTGGGCTGAGAAGCAGCCAACTGAAAGGACTGCTCACAGGACCCAAATGTGGCTTAGCAGTGCCCAGAGGGCTCCTTTTGCTTACATAAACACTTAGTGAACTCTCGAGCTATAGTGAAACTGTTGAAACAACACACTTAGAAAAGTCTTAATCTCATCTGTGAATTCCAGTCTTTTAAAACACAACGTGAATTTTTGCATATAGTGCTATTTCCTCACTGCATGGATCTACCTGAACGTAAAGAAAAGACTCCGTATATAGGAAAGTCTACAGCAAGCTGTAGGTCACAAAAAACATTACAGATAGCATGTCTGCTTAAGCTGTAAAACCTGTTTAATCAGATAGAAGCAAAATCTGCTAATTGTGCAGTTTGTTACAAAGGATGGAAATTATAGTCCACATGCATCAGATATTACTAATCAGGTATGAAAATGGGTGTGGGAACACTTTAAAAAATTCATTACATGGGCTTGATTGCATAATACACCAGCATTCTGTATTTGTAGGCTGAATAGCTGCAAGACTGAACTATGTGAAGACGCCTTGGGGCTGTTGTGTAAGGAGCCAAAATGTGAATTAGAATTCAAACTTCATTTTTTACTTCAAAAAACAATACACTGATTTATTCTTGTTTCTTAGATAAGCCTTTGATTTGAAATGTTAAAGTAATATCAGTAAAAATCATTCAAAGTTATGATAATGCTATTAAACCCGTATCACTACTGCCAAGTACAGACAGTGTGCTTCAAGTGAACAGAATTCCTTTCTTACAGGTATATGAATGTAAACATAAATAAATAAATCCAAGTGTACAAACAGAAACATTCCTTATACCTCAGATAAAGCTATATGCAAGGCTTAGATATGAACACGTCAGTGTTCACTCTTGTTGAAGGCTGCTTCAAAATGTAATACATCCCTTGTGATGAGCAATAATTACCTTTACCTTCATTTGTGAGAGAGGCTTTAATACTTCACCTGATCTTATCTTACCAGATGAATTATAGGCCTACAATGTTCATGAATTAAAGGCAATCATTCCTCTTTACTATTATGAGACCTGAGCTTGGGTGAACCACATACTGCACTGAGACAAGCAATGAGCTGGGTCACCTTGACAGCTTGTTGTGGCTTGCCTCTTCATTTTCTTTTTCCTCTGAATCTGCTTTGCCTGTAATGTCCAGTATAGTACATTCAACCTCAGCTGCCTGAAGGGCTATAGCCTGCACCCAGCTGGCAAAATCTTATGGACTTGCAATTCACGACTTTCTTCCATCATTATGGCACTCCTCACAGCTCCACATCTTTGCCTGGATTTCAATCTGATGTCAGAAAAAGGGCTCACTGACTTGAACATCAGTTTGACTATTTTACAGAACAGATCAAAAGCTCCAGCAGCAGCTGGCTGGGAAAACTGATTTGAGGAAAGCCTCAGGACCTCTTGACTTTGTTGTTCTCTTGTTTTAAGTGCACAGTTATAGCATGTTTATACACTTATCCTTTTCTGTAAATTGCTTATTCAAGTGCAGCCTGGCTGCACACATTTAATATCTGAAGTATTAAAGACTGTATGTTAGGAAAGGCTATCGGTGAATACAGGAGAGATGACTCGCTTTGACTTACCATGCATTGTTGAAGAACTCAGGATGGTAAGGTAGCTGGATTCACACTTCTGTGACTCAATATCCAGGTCTCCGATTTTTAAGATCAGGCGTTTTCCCTGAGGTACTTGGATTTTCTTTTCACAAAGTGTGTAGTTTGGATATGTCCCAGGATAGTTCTTGGAAGCCAGTGTCCCACTGTCCTGATACATCACCACATGCCCACATCCATCTCCTGCAGTAGGAGAACCAAGGAAGAAAAACAAAACATATTCCTCAATAAAAAAAAAAAAGATGCTGACCACAAAACCATCTCAAATGCATTCCACCTTCTTAAAAAGTATTTTGTAATTCTCCTCCTCAGTTTTACAGTTGTTGGAAAACAGGTAATTAAAATAAATGGAGTCATATTTATCTTGCAAATCAGAAGCAAAAAGGGTTGGAAACACGAATTAGAGTATTTGACAGTTCTGTATAAACAGAGACTCTGGTTTTGATTTACAGCCAAACCCTACTGAAACCTTAAGGATGCAATTTCACATGTAATAGGTAGGATCCTTCCTCAAACAGTTTTCTCCCAATTATCATTCCACACTATTTCCGTGTAAGGAGCCATCAGGCAGAGAGCAACTGAATCATGCATGAAAGCACAGACATGACCTAACCGCGTACTGTCACAGACCTGACTCACCTTACTTTCCTGCTGGTTTTCTCGCTCTGCTTGTACAATGCAAAAAGCACTGGGGACAAGGTAAACATAAATGGTGGGATGGGTGTCCTCAGCAAAATGCACAGGCTACTTCACGGCAGAGTTCCCAGAGCAACCAGCGCTGCTTTTCACTGGTAGCAGGGAGAGGTGTTCGCCCAGCCCACCCCAGCATGGGCAGGGAATTGGTACTGCGGCAAAGTGGATTTTCATGGCAAGGGGTGAGCTCAGGTTTGGAGCAGCTGCAGAAGCATAGGACAACAGGAAAAGGTCCATGAAAATACAGGGGGGACGTGGGGACTGACATGGAAAACAGGATGCGTCTACAGAGAGGAAGGAAGCAGGTGACAGATAGGAGACCTTGGCTACTAGAGGAAGAAATTCTTAGTGAACTATTTAAAAGTGTACCAGTAATGTATAATTTATGTGTTAAAGCCTAACTTATTTCATTATGCTGAAGCTTGAAAAAATGGAAACTATAACATTAGTGAAACTGGTGCCACATCTGTGTATGCGTAGCAGCCCTCAGCGTTAGGTCAACAGGAACACAGCAACTCTTTCTGTAGGGATCTTGAACGCTGTTGCCCTTTACCACTACAAAACCAAAACTAATTCTAGAGCTGTTAATGGAACAGAATCTGGAAAAGCTGGGAATTCATTTTTACTTAGAATTTCACTTTTGGAGATGTTTTGGTTAAGTCGTTTTGATCTGGCTGTTTTAATTACTACCTGAGTTTTCTTTCACAAACACTCAAAAGAACAAGCTTCAGATTTGATAAAAGTGTTGAAATGTGAAAAGCTAGAAAAGACTTACTGATAAAAATGTGTAGCATTCTGGGAGCTGGGGTGAAGGTGGCACGCTGTGCAAAGGTAAGATCCAACGTATCAAATGTTGTCTTGCAACTATATAATTACACTGCCATTTCATGAATCTCACTCAACTGCTTATTCACAGTCAACAACATTTATTTTGATGCATTATCATTACTTCTGGCTTTGTTGCCTGTTATTTAATTCTGTCACAAGTTCATGCTCGGAATAGAGGTGAATGAGAGACATTACTCCAAAATCACATCACCAAGAAACACACTAAAAATGGTTTCTCAGACCTCTTTGTTGATACATTTTAAAAAATACCTGTCATCAGAAGTTGTTTTCCTAGCCCCTTTGATTTTAAGATGCATAGGAAAATGCTAAAAACAAAAGGCAAATCAGTCCCTTGAGAAAAATCATCCTTTTAATGGAAACTTTCCTCAGTGGAAGTAAAGTATAAGGAGAGAGACAGTACATATGCTGTCAGCTTTCTTGACCCAGGGAGATGCAAACAGTGTGAAATCTGATTGCTTCCAGCAGGATATGGGACAATCCCGAGGTCTGTGTAGTAAGAAAGAGCTACCTATGGTCCTTATTTAATCCTTATGCTTCTACCAGAAAACATTTATTTTAGTTGAGCTGCTGAAAACCAAGTGACCACAGTCTGAAGTTTGATTTGCAACTTGTCCTCATTGGAGAGCGAAAAGGGAAAATAAAGGGAAAAGTTACACAGCCACAACAAGACATCATGGGGATGAACTCCTTAAAACCAAAAGTCCAATGTTTGCCTGGCTTTCAACTCAGTGGGTTTGTTCTGGCCTGCGCCACCTCAGTAAAACCTCAAGGATTCTAAGTGGTACAAGTCTTCTCAAGGTGCTGAAAAGACATCGTTACCACAGTGAGATGCTGACAACCGTACAGGTCACAGAGCACATTTCTGCAGAAAGTGTACAAAGAAAACTGCAGACACCTCAGCCCCTGTCCTCCTCTTTGCAGGTTATACAAGGTCTTGTCCCCAGGGAAACTCCTTTTTTAAAAATCTTTAAGGCAGCACTGAAATGTAATAAGTCCAGAACATTTTTAGAACAAAGATAGCGTAAGTGCTATTTTCCAGCTTTTCAATTGTGTAATGTGGGAAGGACAATCATTCAGGCACTATAGCTGATGAGAGGAAAGCAGAGCATTATCCTGAACCTGTGAAGCCCCCACTGCCCCTGCTCTGCCTGTCTGTCTCAAAGGAAAAGGTCAGGGCAAAAGCGCATCTGCTGCAGGAGCTGAAGCAATGCCCCAAGTCAGGACAAGCCCAAGTAACTATTGCTTCCAACTATTGCTTCCAGCTCTACATTTCGACTTTCTCAGCAGGGTTACCAGAGCAAAGAAAAATGTTGCACTGAAATATGCTTCAAAATGCACACTAGGGAAGGAGTCTGAAGTCACAGAAGGAAGGCAGAATAAAACTCTGGTTCAGATAATTCATTCGAAGACATTTAATGACTACATTTAGGAAAAAAAAAAAATCATAAATATAACTTACTGTTTATCAAAGGCTCAAAAATTGAGGAAATTGAAAGGAGTTGAAAATATATCCTTTCTTCATCTTTTCGAATAAAAAAATGTGAACAAGTCTATTATATTAGTTTAGGTTTTATTGTTATTTTCTACATTAAATTTTGTTTTTCAGTAGAAATGCACTGACCAAACCTCAAATACATTGAGTCTTACATGCAGTGGTTTAAATTCCTCATATCAAATTCTTCTTTCCTATAGGCAAAGCTCTTGTGAATGGAAATAGGTGTATTTAACCAGTCAGTTCAATGCAGGGTTTCTTGCTAACTCTAAGTTTTTATTTAGCATTGCTTTTAGGAGCTGCTTTCTAGCACCCTATTGGGAAGCAGTTAATGGCTTTGCCACAGACATCCCAGTTTCATGGCTTCCCACTGGACTGAAGCTAAGCAAAATATTTAAGCAGAAGGTGTTCACCAGCCAGAAAACCAAAACACACATTTCATAAAATCTCCCCTCAGCACCAGCAGTTACTAAAAGCACATCCAATATGCTTTAGAAACTGCATTCTCATTGGCATTTGAATGAAGATCAAGATTGCAACCACTGCATTGAGGGCCTATACTCAGGTTGCATGGGAGATCACACGACACTGGAAATAAGGTTGTTTACCACAAAGATAAAAATAGTTTCCTGTGGGAGAGGATGGAAATATCTGGACTGAGCCATAACCAGCTCCTGCTGCTGCAGAAGCTGAGCTCCCTGCTTGCCCCTTGTCTTTGCTGAGGGTGATGCATACATTCAGCCTGGGTCTCACCAGAGGACATCAGGGCACAGACCATGCTACTGCCCCTGTGGAGAGGGCAAGGGCACACGGTGTGTGGTGCCAGTGCCACCACTTGGATGCCTGCGTGGGTAAGGTGTGCGGGTCAAAATAAAGGTAGTAATCCCAGGCAGCCATGTCTGGACTTGGCCTGGACACACTGGCTGGCACACGGAGGAATGTAAGTGATAAAAACTGCCCCCACAAGCAAGCACATGAGCTGCCCACAGGAATATCCCCGCACACACATACTGTGGCTTGGAAGGGGACAGCTTTCACAAAACAACAGCGGTCTCAGAAGCAGCAGAGTTGAATCTCTCTGGAAATAGCTCCAGTTCCTCACAGTGCCCTCCTGCCATCCAGTACTACCTGGGTGGCTGCCTCATTGCTCCTGCCTCCTCCCACAGCCAGCTCAAAGACTGAGCCCCAGGCTCGCACCCCTGGGCTTGCCCACCCCTGGCTATACAGCAGTACTCTGCCCTAGGGAAGAGGTTGTTCTCCTGTAACTGCTACAGAATCTCTCACGTACTGCAGCTTTTACTGAACAATGTTTATATTGCCAACTACAAAACGGTTACAAGGCATGATATCAAAGTGTGCTTTCAAAAGCTCTGCTACAATATCCTGGCAGAAAGCAGCTGCCTTTTCATCCTTCTGACTCACGTTCACTAAGCAATTAATATTAGGCTTGGCCTCACTCCAGCGCTAAATATGTGTTATAACCAAGCATGCTCGGGCACACAGCCGGTCCTGCACACTCCACCATCCTCTGGGTGCGAGCATTTCTCAGCTGGTTACCAGCTCCTGCTGCCATTCAGCCACAGCTGCCCTCCCAAACCATGAAGCCCCCCAGCGCCATATTTCCTTCTCTGCCCCATTCGTCCTGTCTGGATGCCAGTCTGCCTGCATGGAGATAACTGGGACAAGGTGACCACTATCCCCCAACATTTTTCTGCCCACACAGAGGCCTGAGCAGAGAGCTGCCAGCCTGCTCTCCTCCTGCTACTCAGAGCACAGAGTTCATCTGTCAGATTCTGGATTCAGCCAGAAGTCAGTGTTTTCTGAAGAGCTACACCTACAGGAGGTTGTGGACAAAGCAAAGAAAATGCCACTGGATTGAGCAAAAAGTTTTGCCAATAATCCCCAGCAAAAGTATGAATTTATCTCATCATCCATGTCTCTCCACCAAAGTAATAACTCCAGCTCAAAGATACAGTAATAACTGCTGCGAAAGGGCTCTGCACTCATTTCTGAAGGAGTTAAGCATAAAAGCAGATGAGTACCAAAAAAAGAAATTAGACTTTTTCAATCAGACCTGTGCCTTCCTTGATCACATGGGATAGGACAAAAGACCTGGGAAAACCAGGATGTTTTTTCCAGGCTCCATCCA